TTTCATTTGTTAATTTTTCTAAAAGTTTATCCATTAATTATAACTTTATTTTTTGGACTACAATATTATAAAAATTATATTTTTAAAATTTTTTACTTCTTGATTAATATTTCCTATAGGAAAGGTTTTTTTTTTTTTTAAAAAATTGTTTCCCTATACATGCTTTTTTTTTCCTCGTTGCTTTTTTCCATCAATCTAGGTTCTTTTTATTTATTTATTTATTTTTAATTTTTAGGTTGTTTCATTTTGTTCTCTAAAATTTTAAAATAAAAATTTTAATCTCCTAGCAGATGCACCATATATGCCCTTTTTTTTTTTCATTTGCTTTTTTCCATCAATTTTTTTTTCCATTTGTTAATTTTTGTAAAAGTCTCGTCCTTTTATTATAAATTTATTTTTTGAAATACAATATTATAAAAATTATATTTTTTAAGTTTTTTCAATTCTTGATTAATATTTTAGTTAAAATTATTATATTTTTTATTTTAAAATCAATCCATCAAGAAGAATGATTTATGATTTTTTTAAAAACAAATTATAAAAAAATTAAGAAAAATTAATTTCAAGTTGTTTCACTATATATGTTTTTTCTTTTTTCTTTTTCCTTTTCTTTTTTCCATCGATCTAGGTTCTTTTTTTATTAATTTTTTTTTAATTTTTAAGTTGCTTCATTTTGATCTCTAAAATTTTAAAATAAAAATTTTAATCCCCTAGCTGATGCACTACATATGTCTTTTTTTTCCTTTGATTTTTTCCTTTGTTTTTTCTCATCAATTTATGTTCTTTTCTTTTCATTTGTTAATTTTTGTAAAAGTTTATCCATTAATTATAACTTTATTTTTTAGAATACAATATTATGAAAATTATATATTTTATTTTTTTTAACTTTTGATTGATATTTTAGTTAAAGTTATGATATTTTTTATTTTAAAATCAATCCATAAAGAAGAATGATTTATGTTTTTTAAACAAGAAATTTATATTAAAAAAATTAGATAAGTTAATTAAATAAAAAATTGTAATTAAAAAAATTTTAAAATTTTAAAATAATTTTTTTCAACTGGATCCACAACGTATCGTGAGCAAGCGACTAATATCTATATAAAAGACATAGGGTTGTGATTGTTTACAACCTTGGTCACCTCTTTATTTATTTATTACTCTTCACTTTTTGCTCTATTTTTTCTTTCTTTTGTTTCAAGTTTCCCTCTTTTTTTATTTTTTGGTTTTGCGTACTCGTTCACTTTTTTCTTTTTCTTTTTTTCTTTTGTTTCAAGTTGTTGTGAATGCATACTTTTTTTTTCCTTTGTTTTCTTCCGTCGAGTTAGGTTCTTTTTAAAAAAATTTTCAAGTTGTTTCATTTTGATCTCTTAGGTTTTTTTTTTCAATTTTTTTTAAAATTTTTAGATTATTTCATTTTCTTCTCTAAAATTTTAATTCTCTATTTGATGCACTACTCATGTCTTTTCTTCTCTTTTTTTCCTCTCGCTTTTTCCCATCAATTTATTTTCTTTTTTTATTTAATTAGGTGTTAAAATTTAAAAAAATCAATCGTTACTTTTTCTACACAAGCTAATGAGTATATAATATATACAATATTTTTTATATTTATACTATATACTTTTAGATTTTATTAGGATATTTTTTTTTGTTTCAAGTTGTTTCACTATACATACCTTTTCTTTTTATTTTTTCTTTTTTCTTTTTCCCATCAATTTAGGTTCTTTTTTCAATTTATTTTTTCTTTGATTTTCAAGTTGTTTTATTTTGGTCTCTAAAATTTTTTAAAAAGGCATGAGTACATGTTAGAGATTAAAATTTTTATTTTAAAATTTTAATCTCCTAACCGATGTACTCGCTCATGCCTTTTTTTTTTTTCTCATTTCCTTTTTTCTATAAATTTATGTTCTTTTTTTATTTAATTAGATGTTAAAATTTTGAAAAATTAATCGTTTTTTTTCCCACACAAGTTAACGATAATATAACACTACTCATGTCTTTTTTTTTCCTTTGCTCTTTTTCATCAATTTATGTTCTTTTTTTATTTAATTAGGTGTTAGAATTTTAAAAAATCAATCGCTACTTTTGTTTTTTTCACACAAAGTGACGATCATATAATATATATGATATTTTTTACATTTATATGACATGTTTTTAGATTTTAGAATAAATATAAACTATCTTATAAATATAAACTACTCTCATGGTATAATATTGATGTTTTTTATAAAAATTCTCACCAAGTTAATTTTTATTCATATTTTTTTATAATTTTATTTATTAATAAATATGACTTATTTTCTCTATATATGGATTGGAATAAGTTTTTTTAATACCTATTTTTATTTACTTAATTCTTATATAATCAAATTTTAAAAATTGAATATATGTATTTTATTTTCTTATTTTTTACATAATCAAATTTTATCGAAATCAGCTTTTATAGTTTTTACCGCACTCTATTAACTTCAATATATATTCTATCATTTAATTTTTAAAATATTTTTTAATTTATTTTATACATTCTCACCTATTGAGTACGATCATCAAGTATAAAAAATAATAACATTAAAGTCATTGATTTTATTAGAAATCAACCGTGCATTTACACACACAATATCAACTTTTTGTTATTATTTTTTAATATTTAAATAAAATTTTCAAATAAAATAATTGAAATAATATTTTAGAATAACCATTTAATAATTCAAATAAAATTTTGTATACCAATATTATTCATTATTTTGTGAATAAATATATATAAATCAAATGTATATATTTTAAAAAATAATCTTCTCATAAGTAAAAAAGTTTCATTTATTAATTTTCATATAAGTTTTTATATTAATTGTTGTTTTATTTCTTCGATGAAATGTAATGAAAAAAATTAAGATGTTTTTTAAAAAATTTATATTAAAATTTGTTTATTATAGGTTTTATTTAAGAATAAATGCACAAGAAAGAACAAATCATATTTTTTTGACTTCTAAATTTAATATGTGTGTGTGTGTGTGTGTGTATTATTAAAAATTATAAAATAGATGAAATTTTATTTTTTATATTTAATTTAATATATTTTAATTAACCGATAACATAGTATATGTTTTCAAACTGAAATAAATATATTTAGTTTGGTCCGTAATATAGTGCGAGAATCCGAACTATTCATATGTCTAAAATTTCTATTCACTCACTATTCATATGCATAAAATTACTATTCACTTGATGGTAATTTAAGTAATTTTTATGCGTCATTTTTTTGTGTTTTTAGGCATTAATATGCAAATTTAATACTTTTTTTTTATTTTTCATCCCTCATATTGTAACATTTTTTTTTTAATCCTTAGTTTTCATCTTTCTTTTATTTTCACGCAGTACACAAACACACACACACATATACATACTATCTTTTAATTTTTTTAAAAAATTAACATATGAATCAGCTTATATTACTCTTACCATTTAAATTTTATTATTTGAATTTATCATTTTTTTATGAAAAGTCTCATCTAATTAATATTTTTTATATAAGATTTTATTTATTGATAAACATAATTTATTTTTCTTTATGTTTGAATTTTAAAATAAAATTTTAAAACATGATTGTTTTTTCTTTTTTAAAAAATAAATTGGTATAATATATATCATGAATTCTTAGAATTTTTGAATGATAGTTTCGCATGTATAAATATATAATTATGTTATTCTAAAAGGTTAAAAGTGTATTTCAAATAATTTGTCTCAATTTACTATGTATGGTCAAGACATATAAAAAAAACTATTGAATTATTGATTTTATTAAAAATTAACTATATATTTTCCAATATAATGTAAATTATTTACTATGAATATTTTTTTCTAACATCATACAAGCAATTTATTTGTAATAAAATAATTAAAAAAGTTTTTTAAAGGAACCAACCAATTATTCATATATGGTTTTTTATGCTGATTTTGTTGATTATTTTGTAAATAAATATATATAGATCTAATGCATATATATATATATATATATATATATATATTAAAAAAATCTTCTCAACAACATTAAATAATAATAAAATTTTATTTTTTCATTGATTAATCTTTATGCAAGTCTATGCATTAATTGTGACTTTATTTTTTGGATTCATTTTTATATAAAAAAAATTATTTTACAATGTTTGGTTTTGAATTCTTAATTAATATTTCAAGTTTAAATTATTACAAGTTTTTATTTAAGAATCATGGAATAAAGAAGAATGAATCATTTTTTTAAGAAAAAAATTAATGAAACAAATTGTAATAATTAGATAAAAAATAATGAAAAAATTATAAATGATTTTGTTCTATCTATCCGTAGCATTGCACGGATAATTTCAAAAATTAATCTTCTCATTAGCATTAAATAAGAAAAAAATTTTCGTTTTTTAATTTTTGTAAAAGTCTATCAATTAATTATAAATTTATTTTTTGAAATACAATATTATGAAAATTATATCTTTAAAGTTTTTTAATTCTTGATTGACATTTTAGTTAAAATTATTATATTTTTTATTTAAAATCAATTTATAAATAAGAATGATTTATTTATTTATTTAAGCAGAAGCAGAAATTTCATAAAAAAAACTAAAAATATTAATTAAGTAAAAAATTTTAATTAAAAAATTTTAAATTTTAAAATAAGTTTTTTTATTGGATCAGCGACGTAACGCGGGCAGACGAGGATATATTCTAGAACCTAACCAAACAGACAAGTCAAGCCCCCACCGTTACGCTCTGCTTTTTCTATTTACTATTTATTTTTTTCCTTGTGGGCCCCACCGATCCACAGACTATGACCATCAACGATTCCATTTCTTTTGGCCCAATTTGGCCCACTTTCCCTCTCCTCTCTCCTCTTTCCTCTCTATCAAACTCCATCATCATCGTCATCATCCTCAGAGCAACAGCAAATAGGAAGGAGGAGACTAAAGAGGCGGTTCCACCCCTTCCTTCCACTTCCTTTCTCTCTGTAAATCATGGCGGTACGTCTCGAACAAAAACTCTCCCTTTGATTTCAGATTATAAATTACATTCAATCGCCTTTTTTTTTTTTTTGCTGCTTTCATTCTTTCTCGCGAATAACTTTTTCTTCGCTCAGGATTTTATTTTATTTCTTCCTTTTCTCGATCATTTCTCATTTTCTTCTGGTTTTTCTTTTTTATGTTTATTTCTGCCGTAATTATATATAATGGAGCTAGCTATATTTATAATTATTATAATTAGGACTGATTGCTCAAAATTCCTGTATAAATGATGCTTATTTATTATGTTGTCTGAAAATGAAATGAAATGTTAGAAGATTGCAAGTAATAATTTACTAGGTTGTGTTCTGTTGTGTGTTCCCAGGAAAATGAATAGTTAGTTAGTACCTTGTCAAAATCAATCTGGGGGTAATTATGGCTTCCATTTATTTTAGCTATTGAAAATGCATGTGGTTATGGTTCTGATGGCTAATTGTTTTTCGTTGGTTGAACAACTCATTTATGATTTGTGGATTATTATTATTATTATTATTATTATTATTATATCATTTTTGAATACATGTTCACCAATTTCCATTTTGAGCTGTGTTTCCGAATACATGTTTGTTTGCTACAGTAAGTCTAACCAATCCAAACTAAACCTGGTGATGGCAAAATTGTCTTCTAAGCATGGAGAATGTTAGTTCTTTATATTTATCAATGCAAAAATCCCAAGTAACCGTGTATTAACAAAGCACCTAGGAATGGAGAATGTTAGTTCTTTTTCGTGATGATTTTTAAGAGGAGTTTGTAACCGCCTGTAAATTTATTTACACAGCTCTATTCATATGTTGACACTGTGTTATAGCATGATGGTTTTGAAGAGTTATTTATTGGTGGTTATTAATGAATATGACATCATATTTACAGGCTTTACCTCGTAGGTGTATATGAGTGTTAAGGGAAGCTTGAGAGTGGGGGCTTTATGTTGTGAAAAATGAGTTCATTAGAGGCATATAAAGTGTTATTGATGCTACAAGCTGAACGAGTACCCTTTGATCTTATTCTTCTATGGGAGTTCAGTCTTGAGTTAGTATCTTGTGTCTTTATATTGAATTCTAGTCCATTCCTTTTCTCTTGTGAGAAAGATTAACACTTAACAGGATTGGTTCACATGAATACCCTGGACCAATGTTAAACTTGGCCCCGATTGTTTGATGTGGCATGCCTGAGTTTGTAAGTTAATGTTAGATTTTGATGTTGGTTATGGAAAAACCAAAAACAAAATATTACAGTTGTTGTAAACATTTTTGAACTAGAAACCTTTGTGAGAGACTGCAGGATTGTTCTCTGAAATTACCTAATCTTGCCTGTGAGGCCATATGCTCGCTTGTGGTTATTTTTGGGCTTGGTCAATTATTATTTAAGATGCCTCCTTTCTTGTGTTGATGACCTAGTATACTAGTCTTCTTTTATTGTTTTGTTATTGGTTTATTTTGTTTTAATTGATTGGGAATGGCATGCTATTAGATGTGTTCGTGTCGTTGTGGCCATTTGGGTATGTTTATGTTTCTATACATTATACACAGTATTGCATAAAACATCGAATTGTTCCCAGGTCCTAAATTAGAATACTACCATTTGCTTGGATGGCATGCATGTTTCAGTTCATGTCAGGTTTGAAGTACCTGCTTCAGTCTTGTATTTCAATATATTATTATGCTGTTCTCTCTCTTTTTATATTTGCTTTTATTATATACTATTCCTTCGGCATTTTTTTGTTTGCCTGTCAAAGGGAAAAAGGTGAAGAGAAAATAATGTAGATATCGTTATGCCTTCCAATTGTGAGTTTTGTTGTCTTACCCTGAGATGACTGACTTTCGTGTGAATTTTGAACCTCTTCAGGAAAAGGGCCAACCATTGCCAAAGTTCGGGGAATGGGATGTCAATGACCCAGCATCAGCTGAGGGATTTACAGTAATCTTCAACAAGGCTAGGAACGAAAAAAGACAGGTGGCAAGCCTGACTCTCCAGCACAGGATGGTTCCACTTACAAGCCTGGTGCTACTGCTACTCTTGGAAAGCCTCAGACTGTGCGTAACAACCTTTCTTATCTTATTTTCATTGGCTTTTGGGTTCTGTTAATTATTGCACCAGTGTCATGCTGGAAGCATTTTCATCTCACACGTCATAGCTCATGCTACCATTCCCATGCCCTAATCTTGAACTTGGATATATTTTTCTTTCACTAAGAATTAGTGATAGTAATTTTTTTAAATAATGCTCAACACTGTTACTGATTGCCTCTCAAATTTTATGTTGTTCTAATTATGAGGATTTTTCTTGTGCTGGTGCTACTGTGAGAATTGCTTCAGCAATTCAAAATAATCATCATGTACCTCAACCTTCTCTCAACAAAGCTTTATCCCAACTTCTTAGCACATGCTACTTCATTTTATTTTTGTACTTAGCTTCTATCTGAAGTTTTACACCTCTCATTAAATCTTATGCATATGCGTCTTTTTATAATGTTTATGCTGTGTACCAGAATGGCTTGTTTGTCAGGAATTAGGGTTTTATTACTACCAAACATCACAGAGGTAGAAAACTAAAAGGAAAGTAAATCACTGCTGGGACTTGGATGAATTTGGGATCATTTTCTTGGAAGTAGGTTTTAGATGACAAGGAATTGTACTTGGTTTTTATGGAATTTTCCACCACACTCTTAATAGTTGGGACCATACGTCTATACCCCTGGACAAAAAGCACATTAATGAGCAACAAAGTCTTTATGTTTTATTAACAGTTGCTAAATTGAACAAATTCTAGATTTGTATCATGTTTGATGCTTTAAAATGTATTACTGGTTTGCAGAAAAAATGGTTTTGCTGCATACAAGCTACTCATGCAGAATAACAAAGTGGCTCTTACATTGTAAGAGCACTCATGGAAAGATATTATTTATCTACACCTAGCCCCAGCATATAATCCAGAAGACTGGAGCTGTATTCAGAAGCTATGATGGGTCTGCTGAAATCTACTTGTTGTGACTTGAGCTTTAATGATGATGAGGGCTTGGGGACGCGATGAAAGAACAATTTTATTTTCTGTTTATGCATACTGGTGGGTTATTATTGAGGTTTCTGCTTATCTGCCTCATTCAATATGTCCCATTAGGTAACACTGTTGTGGAATTCTATGTTTTGTTTCGAGTGATGTGATTTTCTTGTGTGTATCTGTGTGCTTGCTTATTTATTATACCTGATGAAGGATGAGGGGCCTCCCCTTCTATGTAGTGTGAGGTATGGTATCTGATATTTCATGATGCCAACAACAAACGCTTTGGATGGTCCTTGTCACCATATGGCATTACATGCTATAAGCCTCTGCCATAGCTGACATGATTAACCTCATGCTTTGAGAAATGTCTGCATTGCCTTCCTCACATGCATGGATAACAAACCCATAAGAGAGAGTCGTTGAGAAGTAGCTATTATTCTTTATTCTGCTCTAGCTTTTTCAAAGGTTATCTGAGCAGTCGACATATTGGGCTGCTAGAGAAATTGGAAACCCTCTGATGGCAATGAAATCCACCCAAAATTTCATCAAAAAGGCAACCAAACCAGCCAGAAAGGCAAGAACAAGGCAAACTAGGTTTAGATCCAAGACCCTGGTTTGCAGCATTAGACTTGATTGATAATACCCATATTCACGCCTAAAAATAGAAAAGAAAAAAAAAAAAATTCCTAAGATCTGGATGATGCAACTTTCCGTCCAAGCAAACGTTTCAGGAAGTAGACTTGGAGGAGACTAGCTCCAGGTAGTGCAAGTGATTCGCAAACTGCCTTGTGGATCGCTGCACGGCTCATTTTATCTCTCACTGCGAACAAATCATATCTCAAGGTTACTATTGCTAGATTCTTGTTTACGTTCAAAATGTATGCAGACAAGTAAAAGACATACACGCATATATAATATTACCAAATGCCTGGCGGTCACTGTGAGCTTCTAGCCACTTCTGTTCAAACTGGAGGCTGTTAAGAGCTTCTTCCAACTTTGATATATGCTCCAACAAAGGGGCAAAATGTTCTGTAGATGTTATCAGCTTCACTTAGGAACAAAAAAAAAAAAAAAAAAAGGACAAACAATAATCAAAACACAGAAAGGGTTGGAAGCTGGAGACCCCATGCATTACCATCTTTTGCATGCTGATAGTATGTGAAGCGAGTAATCTGCACGTCAAAGTCGATGGTCTCGAGAAAGGGAGACTTATTGGTGAAGCAGAAGGTGTAAACCCCTTTGTCGTGGACTACGAACTCGAACTTCTCACTTGTTTTATCACGAAAATCATGAATTTGTTCACCAGAAGGTCCTTTTATCTGGCAACCTCAACATAGTCAAAGATCAGCAGTAGAAAGGAAGGAAAAATGTGAAAACTATATATATATCAACTTTCAAGCATATAACTTGGTAGTTCGGCCATAAAAAGGAAAACTAATTTAAACCCACATAATTAAATAAGAAATTAAAAAAAAAAATACATACCACGAGATCAACACCTAATTCGGTGTTGAAATGCCACCGGAATTTGGAGTTATCATCAGCCTTGACGACGACGAAAGAGACATGAAGAGTGTCACCTTCATGTGGTGCATTATGGGACATGCATTCGTCGGTGACTACTGCAAATCTAAACCCATATGTCCCTTCTATATCGCTCCATGATACAACAACCATCAGCATCATCATCGTAACTATCCCTACATGATCATAATGTCTCAACCTCCACATTATTTCCTATACATCAATATTTAATATAAGTGTCAAAGTTCATGCATAATTAATAAAATGAAATTAATTTCCATTTTGTTAGTGTGTATAGAGAGAAGGTTAGGGCAATATTACCTCCACTTGATTGACAAAGTTGATGAGAAAATGTTGGGAATGGTGGAGACTCAGAAGATAGAAAACAAAAGATCAAGTCAGTTTCCATTAGTTTTGGAGTTTTGCTTCGATCTGCTTTACTCTACACTTTTTTTTTTTTTTTTTTTTTGTGGGGGAAGGGAGGGGTCCCCCGACTATGGACCTTGTCTCTACTGAAATCCCCAAAGACTTTTTTATCTCAATCGGATCCCTAAAGTATTAAAAAATCCTTGAATTTTCCATCTAAAGTTCTAATTAAGCTCTTCACAAACTTTGAATGGAAACATCAATTTTCCTAACGCAATGATGTCATTTGGACAACAATCCATGAACGAATATGGACGATGAGACTCATTTGAGAATTAATACAACTTTGGACTCAAATCAAGACTACCTATATAGCGAGGGGACTTCTTCGAGGTTTGCCCTTTTCCTTCCAAACCAGAAACTGAAACCCACACAAATGATATGCTTTAACTGACGAAACGTTTGGGCAATGCAAGTTCGTTTCTTTCGTCCCACATGTCAACGTTGTACTAATTACTTTTTGTCATTAAAAAAAAATGTCATCTCGGAAAAAGCTTGATGCAATTGGATAGTGGCAGCCCTCCCTTTCAGAACCATCGTTATGACCTCTTAGCGACCACAGATCACTGCCAGAAGGTAAACAAATAAAGTGAAAGCAACTTTGACATAGAATGATAACAGATGTTCAAGTCATCACACTCCATTCCTACAAAATTTTCTTCACAAAAAGCCCTTTCTGATACCTAGACAAGGGAGGTTAATTTCCTTCAGTTTCTTTCTCCTATACAGTAAGTATTCAAGTACCTATACCACTTGGGATGCCTGCAAGATCTTCCTCTCCTCCATTGCTAGCCTCTTGTGTAAAAGTTGTTGATGCTCAGTGAACTCCATAAATAAATTTCTCAGCTGCTTTGCAGTCGCATATTCCTCAGATCCAGAACAAACAACTTTTAAAACATCGCCAATGCTTTTATGCTTTAACTTCTGCAAAATAAAATGTGAAATTCAAGCATCGAAGAACTTATACTGACACAAAAGCTTGAACTATTTGGTGGTGAGACTCCCACGCATCATACTGGGGCAACGCTGGTATTCTGATGGTGCAGAATTTAAGTTCTTATCAAACATGAGTGAAATCTGAAATTTGATTCTTATACTGGCTATTGACTATCATAAAGCTATGGTACAATAATTGAAGATGAAACCTGCCACCATAAACTTTTTATTCATTTTCTTGCATATAGTCAAGGAGGAAAATGCAGTAGGTCATGACTGTGCAACCTCTATAACTCGTGGAGGCAGAAACATCATCATCATCGTACATCAAAATACCTATGACATCCTCTAAAAGTGCATTAACACCTAGACAAAAATTAGCCTAGTACAGAATAAGAAACTTGTACAAACTTGCCTGACATTTATGCATCAAGTTTTGAATTGGCACTGCAAATGAATCATGCAGAGACAAATTCTTGGTTACCACCCATGGCCTGCAGAGATGAATTGCATTATCAACAATAATCAACTGTCCGATAAATCTAGCTAACAGCCTGAAACCAAAAATTCAAAAATTTCAATGAGCTTCTGGTGGCTCATAGTTATTGCCATCAAATCTCTTTGCATAGATATGCAATGAAGTATAAAATCTAGTCACGTTTTCAATTCACATGCCATCAAACATCATTAGGGAAAGTCAATAATATAGTAACGCCTGGTGAAAGATTTGGTATGCTCTACAACTGAACAATTAAAAGCCCTTGTTAAGAGCTTTGTTAGGATGCAAGGTAAAATGTTCTAAAAACAATAAATGCACCAACAGGACCCAAGAACAATAGATGAGGAAAGAAAACAGGAAGAGAAACTAAAAACAGCTAACATTTAGTTAAACACAACTATAAAGCAAGTTATAGAGATTACTTATCAAAGTACATACTTTCCTCTCTTTGACATGATAATGTGGTTTTGACAATCTAGAAATTTGGACAATTTCTCAAGATTCTTCTTGCAATCCAAAACAAGAGCCCCCTGTGTATATGTCTCAGATGACATGCTTGGGAAGACACATGCTTGAATTGAGAGTGAAGTATGCGCATGTATGAATTCCACAATTGTTGAAGGAGATAAGTCTTTTTCTACATTGTCAATCAACAATATAGACCAATTTTTATCCCCTCCAAGGTCATCATCTTCGTCAGTCATCATCTTTGCCTCTAGGGAAAAAAGGAGAAGAAAAAAGAAACAAACAAATAAATAGAGAGATGAAGGGAGCAAACAGAAAAAGAACAGCTGAGTTACATCAGATATGGAGCAGGAAATAATGCATGTGCAGAGTAAAGGTTAATAATGACAAGATGACAAAATTTAAGATTGTTAGTGGTTGATCATATTCAATCTATGAATGAATAAATAGAAAACATAATGACCATATAAGGGGTGCTATAAAGACACAAAAGATATACAAAGAGTAACTGTATGGTTAAAGTTACTATAATAAGCTGAATCGCTGGGGACTGAAAAAGAAAAACTCAAACAGAGTCCAAGTAGTTGAAGTTAGCACTGTTCAATTCCAAATGAGTTTCTATAGGAGTGGAGATTAAGAGAAAAACCATCAGGTGGGCGTTTCTTACAAGGAGACCGCTTGGCACGCTTTGTATTCTGCAAACAATAAAATTATGTTAGCAAAAATATTTTTGTGCTTAGACATAGTAATTAAGAAATATCACACAAATGAAATGGCTTGCCTGGTTAAACCATGCAGCAAAGCCTGTGGTAGTTTGAAGTCTCTCCCTTACCATCTTCAAGAAAAGCTGTAAATTGGGATCAAAGCAAGTAATGGACTGTACAAGGCATAGGTTTTCAATTGTTTTGTTAGCTAAACACCCAGCAATTGGACCATGCTGCATGATCACAACAAATGTGCACAAACACACTTCTATTCCAGTGCCAAATGAATGCTCCTTGCGAACCACCTACCAAAAAGAGCACCTATCAACATCTTATAGCTGAAATATTTTTTAAGAGATAAAAAGTGCATCAATCACTTGATTTGCACAAGAATATTTTTCATTTCTAAAATGCCCTGGCAAGCCAGACAGATGGAAGACTTTCATGTGCGAATAATGTGACTAATTCCGGTAGTTTAGCCTGAAAATCTTGCAAAAAGGATAGATTAGAAACTTAACCTATATTCAAGGGAAAAAATCGGCTCAATTAGAGATATAAGAATAGACTGGATAGTTATTTTATTATACAAGGAAAAATTGAGTTGTTAAACCTAAAAGTTATGACTATTTTTTTAACAGTGTATATCCTATTCAATCCATTCCGAATGAATCATATTAACAATTTGATGCATTCAATGGTGATAACTGGATGTTAAGCATAACGAACAATCGAACATTTGCCAAAAAAGAGCAAGGACAAAAAAAGAACAATTGAAGCTGAAATGCAAATTTATACAGTAAAGATGAATGAGGGGTATGTAGATGAAAAACGCAAATTTCTTCAAACTTTCAAAATATAAAAGAAATAGGACTAGATTCTCTTCTCACAGTAGGACACAAAAAAAAAAAAAAAAAAAAAAGACCAAAGCCTGAGACGCTGTTCACTTTTTGAGAAAACAATTTCCAAAATTAAACATTCACCATCAATAAGACCAACAATGGAATATTATTAACTCCGCAACCAAACACATAGAATTAGTATCAACTAAGTCAAAACTTTAAAACTAATGACAATAATAACGATAAACTAAGCTTAATCTCAACTGGAATTAAAATGACGAGTAGACTCACATCATCGACAACGGCGTCGTAAAAGCGGTTGTCAGAACCATCGGAGGAATGCGAGACGCAAACAACGACACCTCTGACCACTTTGTGGCACTTGTGGTCCTGCAATTGAGCTGAAATAGGGCGGAAGCGGTCCTTCAACTTCTCTAGCTCCTCTAAACTTTTGAAGTTCTTCGCCTCGAAAACAGAGTCCTCTTCTTCGCCGAAGTTTTGGTACTTCACCGTGAGCTTCTCGCCCTCGAAGACCGTGTAGACGCTGTACCAAGCGTCGTCGGTTAAGTTCCGAAACTCGACATCGTAATCGGACGGAGGAGGCGCTGTGGCTATGTTTCGATTGGCCACCGACATTGTGGTTTTAGGAGGTTTCTGTTGCTGGTACGAAGTGGAAAGAGAGAGAGAGAGGTGTCCTGTCTAGTGAAAGAAATTCAAAAAGAGAGAGAGAAGGGCTCTTTTGTTATAGCTGCATGCTTTTTTAGAAGAGTGACGTGTTATTCTTGTTAAATTAAAAGAAAAGGAAAATTGTTAGGAAGTAACGAATGAATGTGTCTATTTATATAAAGGTACCATTCTGATTCCATTAACTATCATTATACATGTATGCATTTATTCTTTATCAAATATCTCAAATTCTGCATGACATTCAACTATAAATTAGTGGATTAAGTAAATAATAATAATAATTTAGTTTTATGTCATCTTTATATCCAGCACCTTCTTTTTTTTTAAAATTTTTTTACTATTATTATCATTTTTTTATTGTTATTATTAATTTTATAATACATCATCAACACAAATGTTGTATCAAAAAACTCACGAAACATCAAAACGTATATTATTTTTTACTTTAAATCTAATGATACATAAGAATATAGTTTGGAAAGTTTCAATTTTATGATTATGTTTGATCCTATTTTCTAATATTGTTATACCTTATATTATAGAATTTTTATTATGTTAAACCTAAGTTTGATTTTGTGACATTTGACATTTCGGATTAAAATTATTTATCATGGATGTTTGATGTTGAAATACATTTAAGTGCTAATAGCCTTATAGAAACAATCAGGTAAGATAATCAAGAATTCATGTAAAATCATGCTAAGCCAATGATCTCGCCACCATCTCTACAAAGATTTAAAAGCTGAATGTTTGATTGAAAAAATTCACTTGAATTATGGAAAATTTTAGAATAAAAGTTTAAATAGCATTTTCTCTTTAACTCTTTACTACTATCATTATTTTCTTTTAATTTTATTATTAATGTTACAATTTTACAATAAAAGCACTGGTTTTATTTGTTATTTTTTGACTCGCAGCATTTTTTTGCCCTAATTATCTTAATTTTTACTTTATTAATAATCAATAATAACAAAGGACGTGCCTTCTCGTTCCACCCATTCGAATAACTTTATTAAATGATCGGAAGGATCTGTGTGTGTTAATTAAAACCATGATCATATGATTTTAACTAATTTGAATTTGGGGAAAAAAATTATTGTTGCAGATGGCCATTAAATATGACTAAATTATAAATAACTCTCTTTAATTTTCAGAAATGAATTAGCTAATCCCTTTGTTTGAAAAGTTAATTATTTAATTTTTTTGTCCATTTCATTTTTCTTTTTCAATTTTTTTAAGAAATAGAAAAAATAAATAGATACCAAGAGCCTCTTTTTTAAAAAATAAAATAACACCCGCTCTTTTTCATATTTATATCCGAACAGCACCGTCCAAATTTTAAGCAATGTATTTTTGTAAAATATTCTAATTAATATTAATGTATTTTTGTAAAATATTCTAATTAATATTAGTTCGATGTTATAATGTATTAAATTTGATGATTTAAGGATTAAAGAATTTTAATTTGTATAAAAGGTGAAAGAGAATAATGTTTTTGAGACAAAATGAATAATCAATTAAATACAATCAACGCTGGTTAAAAGATTAAAAGAATTAGTTTTTAAAACAAAAAAGACTTATTAATTCATTTCTTGAAACTAAAAGAACTAATTTATAATTTATTCAAGAATTTAAAAAAAAAATAGAAGAAAAAACAAGAACAGCGATCCAAATTTCCAACCCTCTTTTAGGTATTTATGAGTGCGTTCCTCCTACCTAAATAAATAAATAAACAAACCAGAAGCAAAAACAACTTCTTCAGCAACCAATAGCATAAAGCTTTTTTCTCACCAATTTCAATTATTTTCAGAGCACTAAACAGATGTAGTAACAAATTTCCTCTCATTGTTATATAATGCTATCGTTCTAGAGAAATTCATCATTAATTTTACAATTCTTCCAGCCAATGCCAAAATGATTTCCACTACAGTACTGGAAATCAAGACTTTACTTTCAAGGGATAGCTTGACGAGAAACAAAGGATGCTGCATGAACGAACACATAAATAAATGTACGTAAATAATAAGTGCCTCGGTTAACTTCACTCTAAGCAAGCTACAACAAGGCTGATGTGTATGAACTTCCTACTTTGAGCAGCTCACAAGGAGATATCTTTACCAAAAAGTCCCGATATTCCCTTCCCAGGCTCACTTTGTTTCACAATTGACTCCCCAACCAAAACCTGCAGGACAGCGTCATATCATATGTTAAACATCTAATATACACTAGATAATTATCCATTGCAAATATTGTATTTGTTATTCACATGCATGTGGGGTGCAAATTAAGTTATTGGGATGCAAATCTACAAGAGGAATCTCGTAAGAAGTCGAGTACACAACATAATTATCGTTTCTATCAATAGGCTATCAAGAACTGCATGATTGGGCAAGAGAACCCAGTTTGGTTCCGAATGTATGATTAAATGGGTCGATAGGCAAAGATATGAATAAATTTACATCTAGCATGCAATTTTCAATTTGTTACTTACTGCCTTGACACCAGCTTCTTGCACGTAAGCAATATCATCAGGAGTAAATAGCCCAGACTCCCCAACGACCTGAACAGTCCAATAAAGAACCCATTAAAACAACAATTAACGATATCATGTGAGAGTTTGTGGCACATATCACAGAGAAATAGCACATCTATCTGATGAGTACTAGTCTAACTAATCAGAGGGCCAGTATCAGACAAGCTGTCGCCACTCATCATACAAGAGGCACTCACAATTATGTCTTTTTGACGGATAAGTTGACCATGCTCTCCTTCAAGAAGCTTCCGTGTGTTACTGATATCAACCTCAAATGTTTCTGAGAGCACACAAATAAGTGAGATATTGGCAGTAATGTATGTTGGTGGTAAACCCAAATACTTCCTTGGCAAAGCATAAAGTAAGCAAAATTAAAAAAATTGAAAAAGCTTGAAATTGAAAGCTTTGTATATGAGATTCATCGGAAAAGCACATTTATAGATGTTGAAAAAGCATACCAAGGTTACGGTTGTTGATGCCGATAAGTTCAACCCCTTCTATTGCAAGTACGCGATCCATTTCTCTCTCATCATGGACCTATGGATAAACAGCAAACACAACAATAATTCAGATTACTAACCAAAAAATATACCGTATGCCAATGGAGCTGTTAATCTCGAATGGTACAGAAAACAAAGCATGATAACTGAAAAACAAATCGAAGGATTGGTTGGAAACTTGTCTATGTTCCATCGGATTAATAATTGTTTGAAATAAGAAATACAATGAACAAAGTTCTGAATACAAGAATAACAAATGTTGTCAAAAGTATCTACATTTTAAAAATATTTATCTTTCATTATTAAAGAAAGAAAATGTTGCATTTGACATTTATATATATAGAAGTAATATAGAAGAGTAACAATTCCAAAAGGAGCACTATTCAGACCTCCACAAGTGCAGTCAAACCAAGTATCTTGCATATCTTAATCATGTATTGGATGTCAAGATCAGGAAGAACACCAGCAATTAAAAGAATCGCGTCTGCACCTTTAATCCGAGCATAGTAGATCTGCCATGCATCTACAACAAACTCTTTGCAAAGCAGAGGGCACTGCATAATTTGCTAGCATTAGAATCGTGTTTTATGCTCTCCCAATGATGTAGGCAAGCACATACAAAACATTATATGTTGAGCAACAGCGGAATACACAAGCATACCTTCACTCCAGCGTTCCTTATTGCCTCCAAATTTTCAAAGCTCCCCTTCATTTATAAAAGCACAATCGAGTTGACAGAACATATAAAATGAGTTTGCTATGTTTTTCCACACGTTCAACTAATTTAAAAAAAAAAAAAAGGAAAAGAAAATTACAATGGATGTGCTTAATTATTTTGTCCAAGAAGGCAATCTTACCTTGAAATATTTTTCATCTGTCAAAACACTAAGACATGCAGCTCCTCCTTTCTCATAAGCTTTGGCAATTTCAACCTATCATGAGAAACAGTCAGTCATGGTGGAATTACTAACATGATTACTACCAAAAACAATGCGGCTTTTGGAACATAGGTTCAATTCTAGAAGGCTTTACTAGGGAAAAATGTTTAATTACTATGAAAACCCCCACTGATTTTTCAAAAAAAAAAAAAAAATCACACCATTCAAAATGCTACAATTGCACAAAACATCCCTAATTTAAGGTTGTTCCAATCAGAAATTCAAAAAAATCTGAAAACATTAAAGCACCACTTGTAGAAAGCATCTGTGTTCAAATCAAAACTTCAAGTGCTCATTCACTAGGGAACTTTACACCATTAGTACTGAGCATAAAGCAAGAAAGAACTTGATGATTTTAAAATAGGTAGCTTATTCAAAGTGTAGATATGCTAAGCTTAATAGCAATAAAAAAGCAAGCAAATAGATTAGTATAAAAATTGCATTAAGGTCTATGCAAATAACTGTAAGGTTCAAATTAAGCCAGTTGTTCTGTTCAAACATCTTGGAAAAGAAACAGATTCAGAAAATTACAACAATAAATCAACAGGCATGACTTGACCAAGGAAAACTCATCATTTATTGTAAGGGCAACATGAAAAAAGAAAAAAAAGCACAAGCCTGTAAAATATATAGAATCAGAAAATAGTAATTTGTAGCGGTGAAAGCATGCAACCATAGCCCACCCGTATTACTAATTAAGAAAAGGGGCATATACATACAGGATCAAAATCCTCTCTCAAAATTCCTCTACTTGGTGAGGCCTTCTTAACTTCAGCAATCAAACCAGGAAACCCCGTTCGACGATTGGCTTCCCTAAGAGCTCCAACAAAATCCCTTGTGGGAGGAGCATTCTCAAGATGTTTCTTCAGCGAAGAAAGTGGCTTTCTCTCCTTCATCTGAAACAAATATTCACCATGATTTATGCATTCACTAATAAATAAATAACAAAAAGAAGTGATAATTACTTACTTGTGAAACTTCCACATCCTTGTTCCAAACAATTTCCTCGAGGATGTTCCGAGGAGTGTTGCCTTCATTCTGAATCCTAAATTCAAAGGGTCCCACATAGTGCAGAGGTGGGCCAGAGGGTGGCCTTCGCCTGATTTTTATACCTTGGCTAGCAGCTACCTCTTCTTTCAGCATCCCCACTTCCCATTCCTTCACTTTAAGCTCCTCTTCCTTATTCACTATCGAAACCTCAGCCTGCAAATCATTTGTAAATAAATAACTTAATAATAATAATTCAGAAAATCAATCAATCCACATAACTAACTGACCAACAGACCGACCTGTTGAGCTTTAATGGAGGTAACGGAGCGACTTCCGGCATGCGGGTTCGGGTTCATTGAGGGTCTGATTGAGAAGTTGTTGGGTTTATTGTGATGGAGAGGAGAAGGTTTGTGTTTGGCAAGGACAGGAACCCTTGTTGACCTCCAAGAAACCAATCCGTCCATTTCTCTCTCTCTCAGCAATTCTTTTCAAACTCTAACGGTACAGGACTATATGGCTTGGTGATTTCTTTAGAAGCTTAAACACAAGAGGAGAGGGAGGTAGGTGGGTGTGGGCGTCATTTGGTCAGTGTACGTACAGACGGATTGTCGTCCAATCCACATTCCTTGCACAGATTATTTTTACTTTGCGTCTAATATCTATCTATTAATTATTAATTACTCTCCAGCTCTCTGCTTTCGTAGTTTGATTAATTGAATCTTTTTTTTTAATTATTATTAATTTGATTAATTAGGTACCTCTATATAAGAATAGCACGTTTCGTCTGCAATCAATACCGTCCATCCATAACATCATTAATAGTTTTTTTTTTTTTTTGTCGCACCAAGGCATGTGACACGTATCCATTTAAGATTGAAAAAAAAACTTGAAATTAGACTTTTTTTTCCAATTCATTTTAATTTTATAGCTACAAAATTTCAAAATCATGGAAAATTATATAAAATTTGATTTATTTTTCTAAGAGTTTTATTTTTATTTTAAATAAACACTTGGTACGCAAGCAACGTTTAACGTAAAGAGATCCTTTAAAGAATTAGTAGCAGGGGACCTTATTAATCAAATTCTCATAATAGAGGTACCAATTATTATCAGAGAATGTAGATTTTTTTTTTTTTTTTTGGTGGGGATAATAAGAGTGTATAGAATTTTACAAGAGAGTATTTGGTCAAAGATGATTCTAAAAAGAGATTAGATTTGTATATATAGATAAAGTAATTCTAATAGACCGGTGGTCTTACTTTATAAGGCCAAAATAACAATGCCTTTGGATATGACACAATCATGGAAAATACCATTTTCTTCTAAAACAGACGTCCTTCCATTTTTGCTTGGGAACATGTAAATGGTGATTATCATTGTTAATCTCTGCCAAAAAAGAGAGAAAAAAAAAGATATTTGGAGATTACATACTAAGGCTACTGTCCATGCATTACCAAAACCATGTAGCCTGCTCAGAGTTTATACAATCAAACTTGCACTAGCTGTTTTTAGCTTCCTTCCTACCCCAAGAATATAGATGCTTAATATTTTACAAAGAATCGAAGGGTATGGCTCTCCAGAGGAAGAGCAACAGCCATGGTTCTTCCCCTGCAAAATCTCCTACCTGATGCAGATAGCTGGGAACATTTTACAGCTCTTTTTTTAAAATCTATTTTTTGGATGGCTTCATCCGTGCTGTAGCCAGTAGGCCTTTTCATATAGCTAATACTAGTTGGATACCCACGCTATCGTCGTGGACGGACAACCGTTACACACGTAGGATTAATAATTCTTATAGTGTAATGCAAGTAGAAAGTTTTATTTTTTATGATTAATATAAATCAAATCTATATATAGTTAATTTCTAACGAAACTAATGATTTATATATAACGATTCGGAGTATATAGAATAAATAGAAGAAAAAAATACCTAAATTGTATAAATATATTGAAGTTAATAGATTAAAGTAAAAACTACAACAAAATTGGTTCGATAAATTCTGAATAAATATATATAAAAAAGGAAATAAAACTTGTGAATTTTTTGAACTTATTATTATTTTTTTTAAAATTGAGTTAAAACTATCTAAAACATGCTTTTAGCTCTCTCTCTCTCTCTCTCTCTCTCTCTCTCTCTCTCTCTCTCTCTCTCTCTCTCTCTCTCTATATATATATATATATATATATATATATATATATATATATAACACTCATTTAAAAATATAAAAATAATTTATTGTATAAATTATAATAATATATTTTTAAAAAATAAACATTGACGTTCTAAAATTTTATTCAAAAATTCATATATTAAAAAACCAAATTTATTAACAAATAAAATTATATCAAAAAAATTAAAGAATTAGTTTAATGAAAAATTTAATAAGAAACAAATAAATAAAGAAATAAATTTTAATAATAAGAATAAAATAATTAGATATGTATGTTAATATCAATGTCAAATATATAATTAATATTGGTTCATGGACATTAAAGGGACCAATAATATATATGTTTTCTTTTCCGGTGAAAGGACCAATTATATATGACCGCTTAACTTGTACAACACTTGTTGGAGATCCAGTTATGCTATGACAATATATATATATTCTTTTAAAGGTTTCCTTTTGCCTTTTGGTGATCCAATTCTAAAATACATCAAGATTTAAAATAATTAGCCAACTTTTATTATATCATGAGATTGGTGTCCATACTTTTAAAAATATAAAATAAATTATAAGAAAAAAAAAAGCGGGGTCATATATATATAACCAAATAAAGCTGTGAATTTTTTTAACTAATTATTAATTTTTTGAAAAAAAAAACCAAGTCAAATTAATTTTTTAACTAATTATTATTTTTTTAAAAAAATAAAGTTAAATTATTTAAAACACACTTTTAACTCTTTTTCTCTCATTAGAATTAATAAAAGCAATAACAACATTTTCACATAAAAATCATAAAAATAATCAATCATATAAATTATAATAATATATCTTAAAAAATGAAACAATCATGTTCCAACATTTTATTTCAAAATTCATATATATAAAATAAAATAAAAATTATTAACAAATTAAGAAAGAAATGACAAACTAAATTCCAACGAGTCCAATCCGTTAAAAAGAAATTAAAAAAAAGGATGCCAATAGGGGAAAAAAAAAAGCTACGGGAATGGGATTATGAAGGATGCTACAACAATAGGATCGTGAAGGACCAACTCGGCAGACCTAGTGAGTAGATGTTTTATTTTTTAAGATTAATATAAATCGAATATATATATTAAGTGAACTTATTTTATCTATATATATTCATTAATAAAATAATTTATAATATTAGTATAAAAATATTGTATTTGAATAATTAAGAGGTCGTATCAAAACATTAATTAAATTATTTTATTTAAAAATATAAATTTTAAAATATGAAAAAATAAATAACAAATAATTGATGTTATGTGTGCGGATATAATTAATTTCTAACAAAACTATATATATATATATATATATATATATATATATATATATATATATATATGACATATTTAAAGTATATAAAATAAATAAATAAATATAAAAAATCCATCTAAATCGCATGGAATATATCGAAGTAAATAGATTTAAATAAAAACTACCGTAAATTTGGTTTCGATAAATTTTGATTGATATATATAATCAAATAAAACTTGTGAATTTTTTAACTAATTATTATTTTTTAACCGATTATCGATTATCGTTTTTTTAAAAAAATTAAGTTAAATTATCTAAAATACGAGTTTTAGCTTTCTCTCCCACTCATTAGAATTTATATATTTCAAAACTATATATATTACTTAGCAGACTCGAGTATATAAAATAAAATAAAAATATATGAAAAACACACTTAAATTGCATGGAATGTCTAGAAGTGAATAGATTTAAATAAAAACTATTATAAAATTAGTTTCGATAAATTCTTATTATAAATATATATTACTTAGCGGAATCAAAGTATATAAAATAAATAAAAAAATGTATAAAAACAACTTATTTAAATTGCATGGAATATATCGAGTGAATAGTTTTAAATAAAAAATGCTATAAAATTAATTTCGATAAATTATATATATATATATATAAACTATGAATTTTTTAACTAATTATTAATTTTTTCCTTAAAAAAAAAAAGAAAAAAAAATGTAGGCCAGCCTAGAAAAAAAAAAAAAAAAAAGAAGGGTCCAAATCGGAAAGAAAAAAAAAAAAAAGAATGATATCCAGCCCTCTAAAAAAAGAAAAAAAGAAAAAAAAAGTCAAGATGACCAACTCAAACTTGCATACTTTCATTTGTACCATAAGAAATGCAGCAAAATTTTGTTTAATAAAATCATCCATGAATTCTTTTAGATATGTTTTTGTCATGGTTTGAATTTACTGAATGCTTTGCTGATCTTATTAATTTTAAACACACTATTTTTTTTGGAAAAAAAGAAAGAAATGTAGCTATAATTCTGTGAGGTATTTGATGATTTAGCATGGCTATGCACTCCTGTAGGTTTTCGATTATTCATTGAAAAAAAAAAAAAAAAGGAGGCCAGCCCGGAAAAAATTTAATGACAGCCCAGCCCTTTAAAAAAAGAAAAAAAAAGCCAGCCCAAAAATGACAGCCCAGCCCTCTAGAAAAAGAAAAATAAGAAAACCAAAAGGACTAATTAATTTATCTCTTAAAGAACGAGGACCAAGATGCAAAAAAAAAAAAAAAAACATGAATAGGAACTTTGAGTGTATAGCTACAGTGAATGAATAGATATAATCCCATTTCTTTTAGTTTGTTTTCTTAATATTCAAATATTCAATACATCAATCAAAGCAACTTAATGGTCATTGAGTGAGCTCCTAACGATTACAAAACAAACAGACGCGAATTACAAAAACAATTATTCCAGAAAAATTTGTACATTGAACATCGATCCTTGAAGTGAATTTGAGAAGAGGTGGTGAGAACCACAAAGTAGACATTCATTTGATCTGTTTCTTTCATATGCGTGCAAGAAACCGAATGCTAACTTCCCATTTGTTTTTGCAATACAGATTACCAAAGTGTGCGACGTATAGTTAAATCCTTATTATTGGTGTTGCCAGCTTTGGCTGCCTAGCAGACATGACAAAATGAAAAAACTCCAGTGCTGCTACTCTTCAGATGAAGAAGTTGGGCCGAGTGGAACAGGCATTTCTGAGAGTGATGGCCGCAGGACTAGATACAATGCAGGACCCAAGAATGGAAAAAGTGATACAGGAAGAAGCCAGGAACCTTTATCATACCTATAAGACAGAACAATTACTCACGTGCTATGCCGACTTCAACTTAAGAAGATTTGAAAGCAATTAAAAGATTAAGGGTGTTATTTTTTTCTAAGCTCTCACCAATTCCTGGCGGTCATATCGTTGTAAACCCAAAAAGGGCCAAAAGCAGATAGTAGAGTGAAATCAAGGCATGTGATATGGATCTGCGAGTGAGGTGATGAAGGTATGTTTGCATCATTTCCACAAATACAGCCACAATAACAATACAGTACACAAGTGCACAAAAAACTAGGACACAAATCGTCAGCACTGCATCGATTTTAGCCTTAACTGATAACAAGCATCCACAAAATCAAACACAAGAATTAACACACTTACGAATTTGCTTTCCTTAAAATACTGGAAGAATTCCTTCCAATCACCAACATTTAAAGCTGCACTAGGGATTATAGCCAGCCCTGCAGCCAGTAATACCTGAAGTGTAATAGAGTTAACTTGCATTTCCTTAACACAAGAAGAGAGTTAAATAGATTCCAATTACTTGGTAGTATAGAAAATTAAAGAAAGAAAAACAATTAATGGATGAGAAAAGAGCAAGAAGCAAGCTTTTGTTAATTGATGTTAAACGCAAAGTGCTTGTTTAAGAAAGAATAACTCATGAATAACTAATGAATACAACTAAATTGGCTGCGCTGACATCATTTTTATTTTTTCATAAAGGAAGAATGCATCAAAGGCAAGAGGAGAAAAATAGAAGTGACAGAACCAGAAGCAACCAAAACTTCTTCCTCAACCTCCCAAGCTGATCTTAATCATTTTCATGATAATTTGACAGGGTACAGGTTGAATTACACTTGGTGAAGACCTTATCCATCACACTTGGATTGTCTCAATTCTAAAGTTGTATGAAGTCCATGTTAATTGATATTGTCTCCAACATTTCCTTGCAACATAGTTACAGCATCACAGGGATTTTTACTCTTTCATACCAACAAAATAGAAGAATCATCTCAGGCCTGACATACCATATGAATTGCTGTGTTGTGATCAAATAATCGGAAGAAATGTAATGTGCCATGAGCACATTAAGTACCAAGGACTTTTGAAAGAGCTACCACCTTATGATGGTACTATAATTCTAACCAGCATTTGTGCAGCACTAAAAATTCTACCGAGTTAGCAGTCTATAGCTCCTCTTGAATGCTTTAAACAGAAGATTGAGTAGTTCAATCAATGAAAACTTACCCCAGCAGTCAACTTTGATTCCAAAAAATTAAGAGGCCATCTTCCAAGCTCATTTTCTTCAACAGTAGGTGGTGGTGGTCTCCAGAGAACAAAATAGGGTAGAAGAGCATATGCACCCCCAAAACATGAAAGGATAAGGAATGGCCAAACGGGAATATTGGTTTTTGAGCTGCATAACAAGAAATGGGTCCATTAGATTCTGCAACTTACTGCAATTTATGGGAAAAAAATTATATGATTTTTCATAAAGCAGCTAGCCAATCCCTTTCAATCCAGCCAGCGTCAGATGCATGCGTAAGGGCTTAAATCTCATGCCACTATAAGTAGCTTGCTATTTTTGCTATCAGATGTATAATGTATTATAACAAAATAATGCGAAATTAGAAGTCACACTCATGCAGTTGCTTTCCCTTGATAAATAAACAGCAGAATAAAAAGATGAGGTCAAACTGAATAGTGACTGTTATCTCTGCATGTCCCAGGACAAACACTGTCCTTACTGAAATTCAAGTAATTAGGAGTATTAAACAGAGGAACGCCAATGGGAGCTAAGCCTCAGCGCCCAATAGTATCACCAACACCCTAAAACCTTGTTAGAGGTTCAGACCCTGCAATAACTAACCAAAGCTCCCTTAATATCGAGGGACGAAAAAAGAGGGAAAGTTCATGGGGTAAGTGGAATTTACCTTCTGCCTGCTGGAATTAGAAGCATGCTATAAACTAAAGGCCAAAGACCCATGATGTACCACAAAGACACAAGCACAGAATTCATCCTAAAGCCATCGTCTCCCTTCAAATTGAGAAGTTTCTCCAAGAAATACATGTCCCTTGTCTGCAAAAGTTGTTATTCAACTTCTATTAAGTTTCACTCTTCAACTTATCTAGAAGGACATAACAAAGTGAAAACTGCGCCAAAACCAATCAATCTAATTGTCAAACAAAAAACAAATAAAGGGGTTGTAGCAAATTCATCAATGTATTATTATATTACCGGGGTCTGGTCAGGGGTGAGATTGAAAACATAGTAAATGAGTCCACCCCAGAAGACAAATAGCAAAATTGAGGTTGTCCAGTCCCTTCCTCCCTCTTTGCCACCATCGACAGCATCTTTATCTAGAACTTGGTCATCCTGTGACTTGTCGTCAGAGTTTAAGGTGCTACAACATGTTTGAAGAAGAACATCCTTCTTCCTGTAATTATAAATGTGTTGGGGTTTAACCAAATTTGAAAATTTTAGGCCTTTTCTTGCTCTGGTATTTGAAAATAGTAAAAAAGTGTTTTGGGTTTTGAGAACAGTTTTGGGTTTTAGGTTTGGGTTTGGGTTGACCTTAAGAGGAAGACAAGAGAAATTGCTGGAGATGATGAAGTTTGCGTTAGCAACCATCTTTGCTGCAAACTCACCAGATTTTTTTGGCCTATGTTTTTTTTTTATTTTTTAAGTATTTAATTGCAGGTGTACGACATCGTTTGATGTGGGAGCTGTTGTGACTTGTGCCCTTTTGGTCGAAGGCGCCAACAAATCTTGCAAAACGACACCGTTTGCACGAAGGAGTAGTACTAACTGCCAAAAAAAAAAAAAAAGGGTTAAAAATCCGTTCACAGCCAATCAGAATCTCTGTACAAAATGTATTAAAGTTTAGATTGGCACCTCCATATATTTTTTTCTTTCGTTTTAATACCTGAACTACAGAGTGTTTGAATTGGGACCCTCTCGATCCTCTATGGAGCTCCTTCATTCCGAACCACCAAATAAAAGGTTCGGCTGACGTGATTTTATTCATACTAATTTTGAATCCAATTTCAAAGCTCGATAATTTCATATTGAAAAACTAAAATATATATTTTTGAGTTTTTGATATTAAAATGTTATTTATGAGATTGAAATGAATTTTTTTTAGTGATTTTTTTAAGGTGATTTGGTAGTCAAAATTTGAGATTTTATTGGTTAACTTGATTTGATCGTGTTTAAAACATTTTTGTAGTTCGTATATTAAAATAAATAAAATATCAAAATTATGGGATGTCAATCAAAAAGCTGAATAATTGAGGGGTCTTTTAAGTTATACGTCCCAGAATCTGCATCCATCACCTTAGTCCTTACCTTGCATAGATAAGGTAGGTGTCTTTCTGTCTTCAGTCTCTCGATCTGTACAGTGGAGTACACAGCCATGGCTGAAGCTTGTAGAATTATTCTCAACACCACATTTCTTCCTTCACTCTATTCTCTCCACAAAACCCACAAAAAAGTCTCTTACTCACAGCCTTTCCTGCACAAAAGGCACACAATTCAGTGTTCAATTTCAACAAGCAGTGACACCAAAGCAGCAGCAAAAGCGGCCGAGACCCTGCCGTGGGGCTGTGACATAGATTCCTTGGAGAATGCTGAGGCCCTTCAGAAATGGTTGTCTGAGTCAGGGCTACCTTCTCAGAAAATGGGCATCCAAAAAGTGGAAGTGGGAGAGAGAGGTTTGGTTGCTTTAAAGAACATTAGGAAGGGTGAAATGTTGCTCTTCGTCCCTCCCTCCCTTGTCATCACTGCTGACTCTGTAAGCCCTTTTCTTTTTCTTTTATTTATAAAAGAAAAATATGTCATCATTGGCAACTGGTCAGAATTTTCTCTAATATGTAGGAGTGGAGCTGCCCTGAGGCAGGTGAAGTGTTAAAGCAGTACTCTGTACCAGATTGGCCATTGCTTGCAACCTATCTGATTAGTGAAGCAAGTTTTGAGAAATCGTCAAGATGGAGCAATTACATCTCGGCCCTACCTCGACAGCCCTATTCTCTTCTGTACTGGTAAGTTTTTCATCTTGGATACTTGATGGATCATATACTGGTGTAAAGAGTTGTTCAAGAGGTTTCCTTTTATATCGAAAGGGTCTACTCTCAGTTTCTTCCCCTATAGCCTCTCTATATCATTTCAGGACACGCGCGGAACTAGATAGGTATCTGGAAGCTTCACAAATCAGAGAGCGTGCAATTGAAAGGATTACCAATGTTATTGGAACGTATGCATTAATTTGTTTTTGAGCTGCTTTTGTTGTTCATGTGCCTGAATTTCTATTCTATCTGCTGCTGAATATGATCTTTTGTGATTTTATCTAACATTTGGTCAGTCCCTCTTGACAGATACAATGATTTAAGGCTCAGGATATTTTCCAAGTATCCTCATCTATTTCCTGAAGAGGTACTTAGGTTACTATTCCACATCATCAAATTGAATTGGTTTGTGGAAAGATCCTTGGTTATTATGTGCTAAAACGTAGGATTGTTTATGGATATATTTTCTCAAGAGATATCTGGCATCCCTTGATTTTCCTAAGCCCAAAATGCTGCTAAAATTATAATGATGGCCATGTATGCAAGTGGCATTTTATCTAATGCTGATTAGAGTACCGGCATCCTTTGCCTTCTTGCCAAAACCTTTTATTCTGTAAACTAACTTATGTTTCTTTTCATGAGATTTAGAGCCAATATAAGCTTAATTAGTTGCTTGATGTTATATACATGTTTTGATTTTTCCATTGTATATGATTTGAAGGTGTTTAATATGGAGACTTTCAAGTGGTCGTTTGGCATTCTCTTCTCTCGCTTGGTAAGTGATCTATTTAACACTATTTCTGTAAATTTGTTGCCCAATCCATACACGGGAGCTATGAAGGATGTTTTGGAAGCAGGTGACATTAGATTTGCTTTTCTGAGAGATTGAGTAAACCAAACTTGTCATGTGAAATCATCTCCGCGTTGATGTAGCTAATTGAACAAATTGAAATATTGAGTTCTAAATCTTCCATTTTTGTTTTTCTCTCTTCTTTTTTACTATTAATTGCCACAATCCTCAATCTTGACGTGTTTGATATGATCACTCATGAATAGCTACTAGTGCTGCAAATATAAAATCAATTTAATTGTTTTAATGAAAAAACTCGAGGATACTTCATTTTTGCTGAACTGGTATTAAATGACTTGCAAGCATTTTCCAGAACACTTGTAATTGCATATGAGATCCTTGCATGGTATGATAGGTTGAAGCTTAAATTTCAAAGCTTCGTAGTATTATTTAAATAATGATTTGTGTTGGACTTGATTTATCTCTTCTACATAGGTTCGTTTACCCTCAATGGATGGAAGAGTTGCGTTGGTTCCCTGGGCAGATATGCTGAATCACAGTTGTGAGGTATGTTGATCGATCATCAGTTTGAAATATGAGCTTGCTTGCATATTGTAAGATCGATGTTTAATGAGCATACTTGCAATTGACTGATCTAGGTGGAGACCTTTTTGGATTATGATAAATCGTCTAAGGGAGTGGTCTTTACAACAGATCGATCATACCAGCCAGGTGAGCAGGTAAATGAGATTTCATTGTAAAACTCTAGTAATTAGTTGCTATGAATATTGCTAGATAAACCATTTAGACTGAATTGATGACTTAAGATCTCTCGAGAGGGAAAAAAGCAACAATACAAATCTTTTTGTTGTTTTCATGAAAAGAAAAAAAAAACGCTTGAAAATAGATTCTGAAATTAAACTATTAAATATATTTATCCATAAAGTGCAGTCACTAAGATGATGGCATGAACGTAAGAATGAAAGAGAAGGTCATGTCAGTCCTGTTTTCTCTCCGTAATGGAATGTTTCTAGAATGAAGAAAAATTAAGTGTTATGAACTTCATTATCATTTTACTAGCTCCAAGTGTGAATTGATATGAAGCAGGAAATATTGATTGTATTGCCGTACCACTACCGGTATTACATCTTATTTATATATATATATATATATAGCTACATATAGCATATAAATTAAGAAATTACAAACTAGGAAATTAAAGCTATAAATCTTCCTAAACTCCTTGATTAGAGGCTTAAATTCCTATATTTACATACTACAATACACTTAGAATATTCTAAATAGAATATTTCCTATTCCAACACTCTCCCTCAAGCTGGTTTGTAAATGTCTTTCATTGCCAGCTTGCTTATCGAAAAATCAAATTGTTTTTTCATTAGACCTTTGGTGAGTATATCATCCACTTGTTGAGAAGTAGGAATATAAGGAATGCAAATTAACCCACTTTCAAGTTTTCCCTTGATAAAGTGCCTATCAACTTCAATATGTTTAGTCCGATCATGAAGAATCGGATTATGAGCAATTGAAATGACAATTTTGTTATCACAATAAATTTTCATAGGAAGTGGTGCAGGAAGCTTCAAATCTTCAAGCAATTTCTTAATCCACATAGCTTCACAAATCCCTTGTGCAAGGGATCTAAATTCTGCTTTAGCACTACTTCGTGCCACAACATTTTGCTTCTTCTTCTCCAAGTAACTAAATTTCCTCCAACAAATATACAATATCTAGATGTTGATCGCCTGTCCGTCACACTACCATCCCAATCAGCATCAATATAGACTTTCACCCGAAAGTAATCACGCTTTTTAAATAGCAAACCCTTTCCTTGAGTCCCTTTTAGGTACTTTAGTATTCTATAAGCAGCTTTAAAATGCTCACGGCCTAGTGCATGCATGAATTGGCTTATCATGCTTACCGCAAATGCTATATCAAGGTGAGTGTGTGACAGATATATGAGTCCGCCCACCAAGCGTTGAAATTTCTTCTTTTCAATCACATCCTCAATTTTAGCAGGATTTAGTTTGAGATTTACCTCAATTGGAGTCTCAGCAGCCTTGCAACCTAAAAGACCGGTTTTATTTAGAAAATCAAGGATGTGTTTCCTTTGATTCAAAGTTTTCTTCACACGATCTTGCAAATTCCATGCCAAGAAAATATTTCAATGATCTTAGGTCTTTAATCTCAAAGTCTTCGGCTGGTCTTTTTTTCAATCTTGCTAATTCATCAAAATCATCACCCGTTAGTATCAAGTCATCAACATATACAATGAGGATTGTTATTTTCCCTTTATCGGTGTGTTTATAAAAAAGAGTATGATCTACTTGACTTTGATGATACCCATATCCTTTTAAAGTCTTTCCAAACCGTTCAAACCATGTCCTTAGAGACTATTTGAGGCCATACAATGACTTCTTCAGTTTGCAAACTTTGTTTTGACCAACAAATTCTTCAAAACCAAGAGGTGGACTCATAAAGACTTGCCTCTTCCAAATCACCATTCAGGAAAGCATTTTTCACATCTAGTTGGTATAAGATCCAATTGAAATAAACTGCAAGAGATAATAAAAAAATGTATAGAATTAATTTTGGCTACTCGGGGCAATGGTTTTCCGTTAATCAATACCATATGTTTGAGTAAATCCCTTAGCTACAAGTCTAGCCTTGTACCTCTCTACACTACCATTTGCCTTGCATTTCACAATAAATACTCATTTACACCCAACTCGTTTTCTAACCTCTAGGCAACTCTAAAATTTCCCATGTTTCATTTTTCTTTAGTGCATTTATTTCCTCCATCACAGCTGTTCTTCAATTTGGATCATCAAGTGCTTCCCGAATATTTCTTAGAACAAACGAGGTTAGAGATTTTTGAAGTAAATGCCCTATGGTTTTGAGGAAACAGTCATAAGACAAATATTTTGCAATTGGGTGATTAGTGCAAGAACGAGTTCCTTTTCTAAGTGCAATAGGAACATCAAGATCACAATATTCATGAGAAACAGCATTGGGTAAAACAGGAGGTGAAACATCATTGGGGTAAAATAAGAGGTGAAATAGGAGGATAAGTATTTTTAGAAGTGTTTTGAGTACCTGAATCCGAGGTAATGGATTGACTAGGTGCTGAAGAAAGGATATGTTCTTTACCCTTTTGATGTTTCTTTCTCCTTGCATAAACAATGACTTCGTGTTCTTGATCCTTAGGATTATATTGCAATATCTCTTCCCGTCAAAGATTCAATAATGTTTGGCAAAACAATATTCTTACCAGTAGAAATTGCTTTGTCATTTTCGAAAACACTAGGTGTGAAGGCCATTGTTTGAGGTAAAATAGTAAAAATAGGTATGTTGTCCCAACTATTTTCTTCCTCTAAACTCTCCCTCCAAAGAAAATTCTTTTGAAAATAAGACTGATTTTCAAGAAATAAAACATCTATAGTAACTAGGACTTTTTGGATCTTTCGATGAAAACACTTGTACCCTTTTTGATTTGACACATAGACAATAAAAACATATTTTTCAGCCCTTGGATCAAGCTTGGACCGATCCTTATTGGGTAAATGAGCATAAGTCGTGGATCCAAATATTTTAAGGGGTAAATTGGATGAAATTTGGTTTTCAAGAAAGAAATTTTTAAAGCACTCAAGAGGAGTGATAAATTTAAGTACACGAGTAGGCATTCTGTTTATCAAATATGTTGTCGTTAAAACCGCTTCTTCCTAGAAATACTTAGGGATATGCATAGAAAACATAGGAGATTGGGCAACTTCCAATAAGTGTCAATTTTTTCGCTCAGCCTATACCATTTTGCTGAGGTGTATCAACACAAGTGGATTGATGAATGCCCTTATCTTTAAAAAAATTTCTAAGAATTTCATTGGAATACTCAGTACCATTATCGGTATGAAAAATATCAATTTTAGTTTGAAATTGAGTTTCAATCATGTTATAAAAATTTTGGAATTCTATCTTAACTTCAGATTTATCAGCAAGTAAATATACCCAACACAACCTAGTATGATCATCAACGAAGGTTACAAATCATTTTTTGCTCGAATAAGTAGGAATCCGTGAAGGATCCCATATATCACTATGAATTAAATAAAATGATCGTGAAGGTTGATAAGGTTTTGAAGGATAAATATTTTTATGGCTTTTCGACAAAATGCAATGTTCATAGTGAAAAAAAGAACTATCCGGGCCTTTAAATAAGGTAGGAAACAATTTTTTAAGATAAAGAAAATTAGGATGTCCTAGTCTATAGTGCCGAGCATTATTTTATCTTTAAAAGGGATAGAACTGATACTACTTAGTCCTTGAAGTCTTTTATCCTTGGAGACTTCATCTTCAAAATAGTAAAGATCATCGATTATTCTAGCACTACCAATCTTTTTCTTCGAATTCTAATCTTGAAACACACAATAGGAATCAAAGAAAGTGACACTACAATTAGAATCTTTTGATAATTTGTCGACTAACAAAAGATTGCATACAAGTTTTGGTACATGCGAACGCATTTAAGGGATAAAGTATCCGACAAAATAATCGAACCTTTGCCAGCATTAGATGAGTAGGACCCATTTGCTATACGATTTTTTTCATGACCCAAAAAAGGAACATAAGTATGAACAAAGTTGAAAAACTTGTCATATGGTCGGATGCTCTAAAATCAATGATCCATGGAGCGGATTGTGATAAAGAGTAACACACTAAGGCATTTAAATCACTACCTGTTTGTGCCAAAGAAGCATTAGGAGTACCCGATAATCCAGAATTGGATTTGAGTATGGAGTTCTCTACATCCCAAACTCGGATAGGCCGGATCATCCAAGTTTGACTCCTTCTCACCAGCTTGAATACCCAATCTTTCCCCCGTCGCGGATGTACATGTGCATAGATTGAGACCAACACAAGAAATTGTCTTCATTTAGTTTGATAGTGGTAATCTGAACTGAATGAGAATCTAAAAATAAGTTATGAGGATTCTTTGTCTTATTGATGGAATCTTTGGTTTTGTAAGAGGTAGATGGATGGCCAAGAGTGGGTGTAGAATCTGATGTAATTCCGGACATGGTGGTGAGGAAGAAAATAAATTAGAGTGGTTGACGGCTAGGGTTTTTTGTTTAGAGAAAATAGACCAGCTCGATATCATGTGAATTGATATGAAGGAGGAAATATTGATTGTATTGCTGTACTACTGCTGGTATTAAATCTTACATGTATATAACTACATATAGCATCTAAACTAAGAAATTAAAGCTATAAATCTTCCTAAACTCCTTGATTAGAGGCTTAAATTCCTATATTTACATCCTACAATAAACCCAGAATATTCTAAATAGAATATTTCCTATTCCAACGCCAAGTAACAAATATAAAAGCATAGCGGATGAGTAATAAGGATGCCATTTTATGCAGGTTTTCATATCATATGGAAGGAAGTCCAATGGAGAGCTGTTGCTATCTTATGGATTTGTTCCAAGGGAGGGCACCAACCCTAATGATTCAGTGGAGTTGTCGTTGTCTCTGAAGAAATCTGATGAATGTTATAAAGAAAAGTTAGAAGCTATGAAGAAGCATGGTTTGTCAGCGTAAGTATTGATAAGCTGGCAGCATCATCGTCAATCACTGTTGCTTAAATTGTTGTGTGACGTTAAATATTTCTGTTCAATTAGCAGATCGCAATGTTTTCCTCTACAAGTCACTGGTTGGCCATTGGAGTTAATGGCATATGCTTATCTAGTAGCCAGCCCTCCAAGCATGAGCAGGCAGTTCGAAGAGGTTTGTGAGATTATCTCCTTAATTAGGAGATTTGTTTAAAAACTTGTACTGTTGCCTAAAAGGTTACTACAGATGGCTGCTGCAGCATCAAACAAGACAACCACCAACAAGAATAAAACATACCCTGATATCGAGGAACAAGCATTGCAATTCATATTGGATAGTTGTGAGTCAAGCATATCAAAATACACCAAATTCTTGCAGGTGAGAGAATTTTTATTCTGTTATTTATGGCTTACAGAATAACTGTAATTAACACAGCAAAATTCTGATGTAATGGTGGCTTTATATCAATGCAAGTGCAAGAAGCAATATTCCTTCATTCGCTTTTCACTTTTAACAGTAGTTCATTATTCTATCATCATAGGCAAGTGGATCGATGGATTTGGATGTGACATCTCCTAAGCAACTTAACAGAAGACTGTTCCTGAAACAGCTAGCTGTGGACTTGTGCAACAGTGAACGCAGAATACTATTTCGTGCTCAATATGTAAAAACATCCCTCTTCTTTTGCAGCATGATAATTCTTATTTGAGTATTATGCATTCCATGTTTATTACATTATGCATTGTTGGTGAATCAAAACCTTTGTTTCAACTCCCACATGGCCGGTTCTGAAATCCAGTAAGTCTGCTTGCTACTTGTTTGACCAAATGTTGTGTTACTCGTATCATCTACTTTCATCTGGCTGATTCAAATAGCGATTAACCGGTTGAAATTTATCTGATCTTCTTGTTTTGCAACATGGCATCTCATAGTTATTAATCAGTGATTGATCAGGACTAGAATGAGATTAATGCATCGCCCCATGCATGGTCTAGTAGTATACAATCAACAAGCCATTGCAAACCATGAATTAGATGTCTTGTTGAAACCGTTTTCAATGTGCGAATCACTAAGCATTTTGAAATGTTATATTTTCTTGTATGCTTACAGACGACATGCACATGCCCTCTTTATAATTTCACAGATGGCATATTGTGCCAGTTGCTTTTATATTAATTTCATGTTTGATTCATCAGGTACTGAGGAGAAGATTGAAGGATATAAGGAGTGGTGAATTGAGAGCTTTAAAGATTTTTAGTGGTTTCAGAAACCTTTTTAAATAACTTCATAGTGTGTATTTTACAATTAGAGATGGATATCTCTAGCCGAACGAGCAGCAAGACAGCAAAGAAATAGGGAGTCAAAGCCAGAGGCGTGTTAAAGGAAGTTGATGTGCAGGCTTTGCACGCATGTCCTTGCAGCAAAATTTGAGTGATTAAAGTACTAATCGGTTCTTTCAGACCATTTTTTTCGCTGTACTGTAATATGATAGACATTTTTTAACAATTAAATAAAAGATATAGGGTTTGTTACTTGAGGGGGATGGCTTCTAGTTCCTTTGTGGCAGATTTGGTTCGTTTCAGGAAACCACTTTACATGTCTTGCATGGCTATTACGTACTGGGCTAAACTTAATCTGGATTCATGATCGTAGACTGAATAACTTAGAGATCAGCACAACCCTTCTGCTAGAACCACCGAATATTGAGAATGAATCTTCTTATAAGCACTGAATAGAACTTGCCCCTGGTGATCTCTTGCAATAAATCCAACACAGCAACTGCCATGTGAGAGTGTAGAATCTATGTTTCTCGTGGTTAGACATGCTCTTGTTGTGTTGACCAGAAGATTAGTTATAGATCTTTTATGTTTTGAAAGGTTCTGTTGTTACACTTACAGGTGCAAAAGTTAATCTTCTATGTTAAATTCTGTATTGACAAGTTAAAAGGCATCGAGCAACAGACGATTACCAATATTGAAATGTGGAAACAAAACATTCGTCTTTTTCATTTTTAATAATTCATTTCGTGTGTTTATGAAACCTCTGTCAAGTAAAGCTGATGACAATTCCAGTGTCTCCACTTATTCTTTTCTTCCTGCCTTTGCAGATCAGTCCTATGCTTTTCATCAAAACTCACTTGCTCCTATCACTTGTTTTCGGCCCGGTCTTGTTTACACACGTAGAAGTAGAGATGAGGCCTATGTTGATGCTTCTGCTCTTATACCAGTTCCTGAAACAGTTTCGCTACTGTCATCTTCTGTGTCTTCTTTGCCACCAGCTCCTGCCATTGACCCACCACCACTAAGACGGTCATCTCGCAACTCACATCCTTCGAACAGGTATGGTTATTCTCCTGAGGGATTTAATAATCATAAATCCATGGTTGCTACTCTGTTTTCTATTGCCATACCAAGTTCCTACTCGAAGCTGTAAAACATGAATGTTGGCGACAAGCTATTCGGGAGGAGCTTGATGCATTGCAAGCAAAATAAAACTTGGAACATTGTTACTTGTCCGTCCGATGTTACTCCTATTGGCTGTAAGTGGGTCTTTTCAGTCAAACTTAAATTCGATGGGTCTCTTGATCGGTGTAAGGCTCACTTGGTGGCTCTTGGAAATCGACAACAATATGGGATTGATTATGAAGAAACATTTGCTCCCGTGGCCAAAATGACTACGGTTCGTACAATTTTGGCTCGGCAACTTCGAAGACCGGTCTATACATCATATGGATGTTAAAAATGCATTTCTTCATAGGGATCTTAAAGAAGATAACTACATGTGTTCTCCATCCGGTCTAAAGGTTGTTGTCACGGAGGTATGTCACTTGAACCACTCTTTATATGGGGCTTAAACAAGCTCCCCGTGCTTGGTTTACCAAATTCGGACAAACTCTTCTTGATCCGTACTTTCCGCAAAGTTAGTATGATCCTTCACTTTTTTTATGCAAGACTTCAAATGGGCTTGTTCTCTTACTTGTATACGTGGATGATATTCTAATTACCGGTACCGATATTGACCAAATTGGGCAACTAAAAGCTTCTCTACATGCTTCTTTTCACATAAAAGATCTTGGCTCCTTGGCCTATTTTTTGGGGCTGGAAATTCATAAAGTAACAAAGGAATCTTTGTGAATCAGCACAAGTATCTCAATGATATCATTAATTTAGCTGAATTACGAATACAACTTCCGTTGATACTCCCATGGAATTAAATGTCAAGTATCGCAAAGATGAAGGTGAGCTTTTGAAAGATCCAAAATTGTATCGGCGTCTTGTGGGAAGTTTAGTTTACTTGACTATAACTAGACCGGACATATACTTCGCTGTTAACTTGCCGAGTCGGTTTATGGCTTCTACGAGGCATTTACATATGGCATCTGCAAAGCGAATTATTCACTATCTCCATGGGACTTCTAATCGTGGTCTATTTTTTCCAGCTGGTTCTTCTCTAAATTTGGTCGCTTACGATGACGCCGATTGGGCGGGCCGTCCCGATACGCGCCGCTCTACAACAGAGTTGGTGTGTATACTTAGGTGATGCTTTAATTTCCTAGAAATGCAAGAAACAAGAACGAGTCTCCAAATCGTCGATCGAGGCAGAATATCGTGCCATGTCCGCCACATGTTCGAAAGTTACTTGGTTACGTGGTTTGCTCTCCGAATTGGGTTACCACTAGTCTACTCCTACTCCTCTTCATGCCGACAATACAAGTGCTATTCAGATTGTAGCAAATTCGGTGTATCATGAGCGTACAAAGCATATCGAGGTCGATTGTCACTCAATCCGAGAATCCTTTGACAATAGTTCAATTACTCTTCCCCATGTTTCTACACATCAACAGATTGTTGATATACTTACTAAGCCCCTACCTTCAGCTCGACATCGAGTTCTTCATTAAAAAATCGATGTTGGTTGATTCCCCGACATCAATTTGAGGGGAGGTGTCAAGTAAAGTCTGTCAAGATGTGGTTAACATAACTGTCAAGTTATTATTGCTGTAAATATATATTTTCCTATAATAGGATCTACTGTGATAGGAGGACATAATTGGGGAGTTAATTGCTGTAATTAAGGGATACAATACCTTGTACAAATTACTATATAAAGGGAAGAAAAGCTCAAAGGAAAGGAAGATATTTTTTCCACATAAATCTTGTTTTGTTATTCTTGATTTGTTAACCTCTACCACAAAAAATTTTGATGTCGCTTTTTGTTGATTGAGCTTGGTAATTGTCTCTAGATGTAATTGAGTTTTGGAGAGGATTACTCTCATTGGCTTTGTATTCCATCTTTTGATCATAAAACCTTAGATAGGTTTTCACCCGTGGAGTTGACAGTTAGCTGTAAACTTATGTTTTATTATCTCTCCTTTATTTTTCTCCTCCTCTTTTGATTTACTTACTACAAGAACTTCGTCTTAGATCCTGCGCATATGCCTAACAATAGGCACTCACAATTGAAGCAAGGAGCATTACACATGAAACATTAATCAACAAAATCCTAGTTGAGAGTAAATTAAAAAGGTCAGTTTGTCCGATGATCTAGAGCAAGGATTTGACAATGCTCAAAGGGCAAGTTCTCTGCCTCCCAAAGGCAAACTGACCAAGTAGGCTCATTTTGTACTAGTCCAGGAAAACTAATTTTTCTCTGGAAAATACAGAAATCCATATTTATGGAAGTTGCAAAGACCATAGCACAAGGAAACTTTTACTGATACAGCTTCTGGAGCTCATCTTTAAATTGGACCTTCAGCTGCTCCCTTTTTATCTTGAGGGAAGCAGTAACTAAGCCAGACTCAGGTGTCCAGGGATCCGGCAGCAGCTTGATCTTAGCTGGAGTTTCAAACTTGTCCAACCTCGAAGCTTTTGCTACCTGCAGAGATAGAATGCTCTTAGATCTGCAGCAAGGGTTTTGTTTCTTACTCTTATGTATTAACAACTGCAAATGTGCTTGCCTGACATATTTCAGAGCACGCAAAAAACTACGAACCTTTTATTCCAAATATGAAAAATGCTCCCAGTAGACAAATGCAAACAGATTCCATGGACTTGAATAGGTCAGACAATGAATATAATTTTTACATCTAAGAATTTACATCAAGTACATCTTGACAGATGAGGCAAGCGCATCTTGCCATAAGACCAGGAGGCATATAAAATACAAGGGCAATTCAAAGCATAGTCACAAAATCAGAAGCTATTGCAATATTCATTTATGTTTCTGCTTGGAAATATTGAACGAGTTCAAGAACAATAAGAGCTCCCACATGTGTTCTGCAGTTTTAACAAATCAAATGCCTTTCAAATAGCCGTAGACAAGAAAAAGATAATTCAAAGCATCATATCACCAAATCAGAAGGTATGGCAATATTCGTTCATGTTTCAGCTTGAAAATATGAACGAATTCAGCAATAATATGAGCTCCCATGTACGAAAGTTTTAACTAATCACAAGACTTCAAATAGCTCTCCAGTATGCAAGCAAAATAAACCTACCTTCAAAAGTGATTGTTGAACCTCACTGACTGCTTCAGCTTTGTTACACAGCTCAGAAAAGTTTTGGTACTCCATGCCTGCTTCCTGGGCCCACTTCTCAAGCACGCGACATGATGGAACAATTAGGGCAACACAATAGCTGTGGAAGGGATCTGCATGTACCATGACATTATCAACATAGTCACTTGACATTAATGCTGCCTCCACCTGCAATCAGGGCACAAACCAACCTTGTTAGCACATTGATGCACATCTATGTACCATATAAATACTATCAAAATTTATCAGATTAAGTTTTATAAACACCTTTCCAAGAGAGATATACTCTCCGTGTTGAAGTTTGACAATATCCTTCTTCCTATCAATAATTTCAAGGCATCCATCAGGGTGAAACTGTCCGATATCACCAGTATAGAACCAGCGCATGCCCTTTTCATCAACCTGTCGCAGGTCAAGAGAACCAGTTTTCCATCTCTGAGCATGTTACAGAGTAAGAGCAAAACAAAATTGCACATTCACGCCATACAGAAAACAATTGCTGTGCTCATGCAAACACACTAAAGTATACCTTGTAAACCTCGTTAGTTTTTTCTGGGTTGTTAAAGTAACCAGCAGTCACGCTGAATCCCCCAACTACAACCTCACCTCGGGGCATTGGCTTGTCGGCCACTGTATACCCACCTTCTTCCCAAGAAACAAGCTGCAATACCAAAACGAAGGAACTCTTAAAACTAATCTTCTAAAATCTTACAAAGTGAGCATTCCTGCTTTGCAACTATGATTCTTTTCATAAAATGTGAAGTGCAGTTTGGTCGTAATCTTGAAAAAAAAAATTGATGTCGTAGATGCCAGCTTTCGGTTGATATTGGTCAATGGAAACATCTTCTGGGAGTAAAGGCTAGTGCAAGTTAAGATGCAGCAACCTAAATATATTCTGCAGTATCCTCTTTGAATACCAAGTCCAGTTCCAATTGTGAAACTAAATAAATTTTTCCTTTTCTAGAAATATGGCATACCTTAATGTAGCAAGAAGGAAGAGGAGGTCCAACACGGCCCACAGATGGGTCGTCCCACTCAGTGAAAGCAGTTCCAGCACATGTTTCTGTCAAGCCATATCCTTGGCCTATTTTAGCCCTGAAGATGCACATGGTAAACTGAATATCAACCTAAATTGAGAACACTGAGAGTTGAAATATAGAATATTATAGATGAATGCATGTCATCCCAAAATAGAATTTCATGAATTTTAAAATCCAATAACAACAGACGTCAATGTACATGCTTCATGTTTCCAATACTGCTAATAAGTATCTAGGTTTATGATTTCCACGATCTGGCCATACAAATAGCAGACCCAAGAGCACAGCATAGTTATTTCTTGGTATCCAGGATACAAGATGGTCTCTGCCAAACTCCAGAGGACAGTTCTTTCCTACACATTGCAGAAAAAAAAAATGCTTTGTGCTCTTATAAATTAGATACTGATGCATACCAAAACCAATTACAAAAAATGCTTTGTACTCTCATAAGATGACACTGGAAAAATAATGAAAGGAAGTACAAAGGAAAAAATTAGAATGAGTATAAGTAATCAAACAAGTTCTTCCTTTAATTATCTTGGTATCTGCAATGAGAAACTCGTTACCCCATGCAGATGTTCGTGAACCGCTGTGAATCACCAGATAAAGGGGCTCCACCACATAGGATGAGTCGCATATGAACTCCAATTATAGCACGTATCTGTTTGAAGGCAATGGCATCCCACAGCATTCTCTCCAGTCCCCAAGCACCAAACCAGCTTCCTTCTATGGCTGCCAGTTGGCGCTTATATGCAATGTTGAAAAGCTTCTTTGCTAATCCTCCCTTCTCCTCAACCTGAAGTTCATCACAAAAGCATTAAAGAAATTATTTACCTATAGACGAAGGCATTCTCAAC